GTCCTTCATATCAAACTCCCTAGCCAATTGAGCCTTCAGGTTTTCAATACGATCTTTGTTGGGGCCTGCTACCAACATGTCGTCAACATACAACAGCAAGATAATGAAATCATTATCACCAAATCTCATGTAATATGCACACGGATCTGAACAGAGTCTGTTGTATTTAAGGCTCATGATGAAGGAATCAAATCTCTTATACCAACATCTCAGCTCCTGTTTGAGACCGTAAAGAGATTTGTTCAACCTGTAAACCAAGTTCTCTTTTTCTTTTTCTTCAAAACCTTCTGGTTGGAGCATATAAATTTCTTCTTCAAGTTCTCCATGAAGAAATGCAGTTTTCACATCTAACTGCTCCAGGTGTAAGTCAAATGTAGCACACATCGCCAGGACTACTCGAATTGTTGTGATTCAATGCCTTCTTTCTGAGCATATCCCTTCACCACCAGTCTCGCACGATACCGCTTCACTTGATCATTGCCATCTCGTTTGATCTTATATACCCATTTATTCCCAATGGCCTTCCTTCCTTGTGGTAGTGAAACAAGATTCCACGTCTTGTTCTTATGAAGAGCTTCAATTTCTTCTTGCATTTCAGCCATCCACTGAGAAACTTCTTGGCTATTTACAGCCTCGTGGAAAGTTGATGGCTCTCTATCTTCTGTCAGTAAGCAGTATGCAACATTACCTTCCATAATGTAATCTGAGTGCCAAGCCAGTTTTCTTTTCTCCTGTGTTGATCGTCAAACATCTGGAGCACTAGATTCAGCTTGTTCTTCGTGCTCTAGTGTTGCTTCAGAAGTATCTATAACTTCTCGTTCGTCTCCAACTTCAACTGTAGTAGTCTCTGGTTTTTCTTTTGAAGTGCTATCATTTTCTTTTTCCTGCATTTTGCCTTCCGCAAATATGACATCTCTGCTGATTATCACCTTGTGGGCAGTGGGATCCCACAGGCGGTACCCCTTCACTCTATCAGCATACCCTAAGAAAATACATTTTCTGGATTTTGGATCTAACTTTGATGTTTCTTGGGTGTTGTACATAACATACACAGGACTTCCAAACACATGTAAGTGAGAATAATCAGTTGGTTTACCAGTCCACATTTCCATAGGCGTCTTCAGATCAATTGCGGTTGATGGCGACCGATTGATCACATAACAGGCGGTTTTGACTGCTTCTGCCCAAAATGACTTGGCTAACCCCGCAGTTCTCAACATTGCCCTTGTTCTTTCTAACAATGTTCTGATCGTCCGCTCTGCCACTCCATTTTGCTATGGAGTGTATGCCACAGTGAACTGCCTCTTGATACCTTCTTGTTGACAGAAGTTATCAAATTCATCACCGGTATATTCTCCTCCATTATCAGTCCTCAGACACTTGATCTTGTTTTCAGATTCAAGCTCCACACGCGCTTTGAATATTTTGAAGACTGCAAAAATGTCTGCCTTCCTTTTGATTGGATACACCCAACATCTCCTGGAGTAATCATCAATAAAAGATACAAAGTATCTTGCACCTCCTAGGGATATAACCGGTGCTTGCCAAACATCGGAATGGACCAGCTCCAAGATAGCTTTACTTCTAGCAGTGGAACTGCTGAATTTCAATCTGTGTTGCTTACTAGTAACACAATGCTCACAAAAGGGTAATGAAACCTTTTTGAGCCCTGGAAGAAGCTTTTGTTCTGAGAGAATTTTCAAACCGCGTTCCGACATGTGAGCAAGTTTGCGATGCCACATCATCGTTAATTCTTCTACTGAACCTGTCGATGCGACAAATGCTTCTCCTTCTTGTAGTGTCTCTCCTTTAAGCATGTACAAATTTGCAGCTATCTTTTCCGCTTTCATCACCACAAGCGCGCCTTTAACTATTTTCATGATCCCATCTTATATATGGGTCTTGCATCCAATGCTGTCCAATTGTCCTAGAGACAATAAATTTTATTTAGGCCTTTTACGTGCCATACCTCCTGGATAGTACTAACTGTACCATCATACATTTTCAATTTGATGGTACCAATACCAGCGATCTCCAAGTCATGATCATTTCCTATAAACACAGATCCTCCTGGGATAGTTTCGTATTGATGAAACCATTCCCTTATTGGTGTCATGTGCCATGTAGCTCCTGAATCCATAAGCCAAACATTAGAATATTTCTTTCTACCTTCAACAACTGTTGTTGCCTCGCTGTATAAAATTTCACCATCATCTAAGGTACTTGCTACACAACCCTGAGCTTTTGATATCTCAGGACCTTTTCCTTTAGCTTCTTCATTCTTCTTGAGACTCCAACAATCCCTTTTTAAGTGCCCTTTCTTGCCACAGTAATGACACTTGGCATTTTTCTGGCTCCGTTGATCTCCCTCTCATCATCGTTAAAGCTTCTGCCTGATTCGAACTTGTCAATCTGTCCTCCTTGTTCTTGCGCCTCCTTTCCTCTTCAAGAACAGCAGCTGCAATATCATCGAAGACTAGAGTTACAAGATTGTTGGTTAAGTTGATGATGAGTTGATCATACGAATCTGGTAGACTTTGAAGTAAGATTTCAGCACGTTCACCAGTCTCTATATTATGCTCCATTGATGTGAGTTGTGAAAATAGAGTGTTGAGGGTGTTGATGTGGTCTGTCATCGTAGTTGACTCCATCATCCTAAGGGTGTAAAGTTTTCTCTTTAAGAAGATTTTGTTGTGTAATGATTTGGCCTCGTACAGCTTTGTCAGCGTATCCCATATCTCTTTGGCCGTCTTTTTCTCTGTCACACTTGACAATACTCCATCTGCTAGTGCAAGGTGCAGATTAGCAACTGCATTGCTATCCATCTCATTCCACTTAGTATCGTCAATAATTTTCATAGGCCTTTGTCCAATTGCCGCCAAGCAGTTATCTTTTCTCAAAACTGCTTTTATTCTCATTTTCCATAATGAAAAATTGTTCTCGTTGAACTTTTCAATCTCATATTTTGTCGCCATTTTTCACCAATACTATGATTGAACAACGACCCTACACAGAACCTTGCTCTGATACCACTGTTGGGGAGAAAACACGTGGGTCGAGTTTGGTTGACAAATAATGGAATTGAGAAAACACAGCTAAAAATGGACACAGGTATTTACGTGGTTCACCCAATTTAGGCTACGTCCACGGGCAAGTATGGGAGGATTCACTATAGTAGGAGAATTACAACAATCTCTCTAAATACAAGGAGATAACGACGAATAATCTCTCTTGTAATAGGAGAAAACAAGTAGAAAAAAAGAACTTAGGAGAAAAACAATAAATTTTCTCTCCTCTTCACCTTACAATTTTCTCTATTAATTTTTCCTCTCCATATGACACACCATTTTCTCTCAAACTCTTGCCCATATTTATAGTGAATTTTAACCTCCATAATTGCTTGGAAGAGTCAAAGTTCTACCACCTTCGTTTGCTAGAATTCTCTACACATTTGCCTTTCAAGTAAATGGAGAAAGAAAACTTGAATTTCTCATCCTCACTTGTATGCATGCATGGAGTCTTTCTTACCAATTAAGATATCAACAACCTTATCAATTTAGTCAAAAAATGTGGCTATCATTAGTTGGAAACTTCAATTTTGTCACCACCACCACTTGCATGCATGTATCTTTCTTGCTTGGCAATTAAGAAAGTGGCTTATCCTTTTATGGTCAATAAAAGTGTCTTTACTATTCAACACATAGGAGTAATTTTTACGTATGCTGCAGAGGACAGGTAATTTTGTGTTCGTGGACGCTGCAAGTGTAAAAATTAAATATAAACGAGTTCCAAGAACTATCCTACTGAACCAAAACAAACTCTGTACATCTCCTGTTATCCATTCTTAATAATTTAATGGCACACAATCTTGAATTGGCATACATAAATTTCTTGTTCAATTGTGGTGGTCACAGTGACCATGACATTGAAACGTCCTATATAGGTGCAATACTTCCCCAAACTTCGAAGTCTAGTGTTGCGAAAATACTACCATTTGAAGAAGATGAAGGTGATATTACAACGCTTTTGATGATTGGGTACACGGGTGCGCAAAATCTGTCATGAAGACCGCTATGCAAATTTAGAAAGAACAAAGAGAGATGGGAAGTTAAGTGCTCGAGATCATTCTCTATCGCCCGCCACTCTTATGGTAATCATACTATACGAGTATTTCAGAATTTTTATTTATTTACTTTATTTTGAACAATACTTTTCTTGCAGATACATATTTCTTGTGCGGTGTATTCCATGAGCATTAACTTAAAACACGTTTTTGAAAAACCGAGATGTCCGCTTCAAGCTTCGCTGAGTTTTTTGTCCTCTAATGAAAAACTCAGGCCATGGTGGGACCCAAACCCAGCACAACCCAGTTTTTCTGGCAAGCCGAACACATCACAGGCCTGTTTTGAAATCGACTTATAAACAAAATGACTTTCTTCAGATTATTTTATCAACATACAAACAAAAAATATACAAATATATAAATCCACTCATTCTGAACATTTTCTTTGTTCTTTCTTGATGTCAATCCTCCAAAACACTAATTTCACTCCTTGAGCATAGTGATGGCAACGGGGCGGGTTTGGGGCAGGGTATCCCCATCCCGCCCCACCCCGTTTGGCCAAAACCTCACCCTGCCCCGTGCCCCGCCCTGCCTTAGACGGAGCGGGGCGGGGACAGGGCAACTTTTTGTCCCGTTTGTTGCCCTGTTTAATTTTTATTTTTATTTTTTACATTTTGAAAGTTTTGAATTATGTTATTTTTAAATAATAAAATACAAATTTAAAAATGATTTTTTAACGGATGAATTGTCTAGAAATAAAATTATTTTTAATTTTTTTTTTTTTTTTACTTTTACTTCACGGGGCGGGGCGAGGACCGCCCTGCGACGGGGCGACCATTTACGCCCCGCCCCATGCCCCACAACGAGACGGGTTTTTTTGCCCCATTCGAGACGGGGCGACACTAGGGCGGGACAAATTGCCATCACTACTTGAGCAAAAATCAAATGCCTTGATCATTCATATTAACACATTATTTTGAGAACAGTTAGCCACCTACATACAAAACACCCACTCCTTGAGCAAAAATCAAGTGCCTTGATCATTCATATTAACACATTATTTTGAGAACTGTTAGCCACCTACATACAAAACAACCCCCCTCAGTTTCGTCTAACAAGACAAACCACTAACTTAATAAAATCCTACATGCATGTATTTGGTATGCACATAGAATTTTGTTACAATGAACAGAGTTTAGCTTATTTTCCTCTTCTGACACTATCAAATACTGTCAAATCCTTCCTACCAAATATGTCATATGTATCTTCAACGGCCACCTTAAAGATTTGACAACACGGAACAAGAGTCAAAATAATAACATTTAGACGAATAGAAGACGGCTACATTAATCCTTGCAGCATATTCGCTTGAGAAACGAGTCCCAACAACCAGGTTCTACTTTTGTTTCGGTCGAAATTATGGGGTCCTTGAATTTTGCTTTCTCACTGAGTACTTCAAATGACTCCACGAGATTCTGAAGCCTAGCCACAAACTCAATCAACAGAGATGTAAATGTTGAGAGTGACAATGCAATTGCACTTTCATATGTTCGTACTTCACGCTCGTTGAGAATGGTATCGCCAATAAGTGAAAGCCTTGATGGCCACAATGTTTGGTGTTTGAGCATATCTTCTCCGGAACCCCATTGAGAAACAGAGAGATTGGTGCTCATGTTTGGATTCTGCAGATCGTAGTTTTTAAAAGAGTAGGTTGATTTCAGATTGATTGCACTAAGGGAATTTATCACTAATGGTTTGCTTTCGTTATCCTTGAGATCTTGAAGGTGCTCAGGGTCTTTAAATTTCCCAGGCCGTTTTACACTTTCCCAGCTCTCTGCATTTACCAAAAGATAAGATTTTTCATCAATCTTCAGTTGCAAATCCTCAGCAGCAGCATGAACATCCTGGAGGAAGTCTCCCGGGGCTAGTTTTTCCATCTTTTGTACTTTTTCTCCAAGCACTCGTAACACTTTAGCACCTTCATTTCCAACCCTCTGAATCTCATTCTTAAAAACCTGTCGTAGTTCAAATGGTGCCTACAAACACAAAATTTAAGAGAGCATAATTCAGTAGCTACAGGTTATTATTTTTTCTATTGAGCAAATGGCTATGTAAGCATTCTAAGCTAATTACAAATCGTATGACCTTAAAACGTTTTTTCAAGCATTTTTTTAAATGCCATTTCTCTGTCATTGAATTGTTTTCTATAAACATGAAAGTAACGAATTCGCTTGCTTAGTTGTGGACTCAAACTAAATCATCATATTATAGCCAGTGTATCTTTGGTTAGGAGGTAAGGTAGCTTTACGGGACCCACCCACCATCCAAAAAAAATAAAAATGAGAGAAAATAACACCAGAGGACCATTCAACCTATTTTGGACTCACAAAAGACCATTTAAGAATAAGAGTTGTCATCAATTAATCAGATGTTCACCAAGAACGAAACTTTATTTCCTTAGAACTAGAAGACTGTTAAAACATCAGGAACTGGAGGCTTATAAACTCATTCAAGTCTGCAAGAAAACAAAACTGGGATAGAACCTAGTCGTAATCAACAATCAGATAGGGATTGGCAGTTAAGTGGAAATTTTCAGTGGCCAAAAGTGCAGTCTGAATATTGACCGGTTTTTGGTTAATTAGGTTGCGGAGGGTTCACAATTGTAATTACTTGTACTCCTAAGTTCGGAAAAGAAATACAAAATCAAAAGAATATAAGTTTGCCATGAGAAATGACATTGAGAGCCAAAAGAGTGACCGGAACTCAATCTCGCTATATTTCTCAGTTTCCCATGTCAACTTAAGTTTATCACCAGAATTTTATCTATAATGTACACAGACTAGAATGCTGTACTCATAATCCCCCCTTGGGGCTGCAATGACACCCCCACATAAGCTTTGATTTTTTATCTGTAGATGAGACTGTCTAAAGACTTCCATTTATTGTGGGAGAAAGAAGATCGAGATTTAATAATTCAACTAACATTTATTTTATCCCCTTTTCACCAACACAGTTTAAACTAATATAATATCTACAGAAAAATCTGGACATATGGTTCATATCATCCTTACCATAATGTGCCTTTTTTTACCAAGCAACTTAATCAAGCCAGAATCAAATATTAAATGATAAAGCAATAAACTGAGCATCATAAAGATCAAGCCTCCTAATTTTCTATGATAAAACAACATAACCAATGCAAATTGTGTGCAACTACAAGGAGATTGATGGGGATAACCAAAATTTACGGCAATCTGATCATGATTGCTTTATTTGACCCTTTAACCTGTTTAGCAAACCATAACAGTAAAATGAACTGAGGTTCTTAAAATGGGGTAAGGAGCTTGGCTCGATAATTAGAAAAAGCATCCAAATTCAAAAGTGATTAGAATTTGACTTAGGCAGAGCACCTTTCAGATCTTTCAAAAGATAAAGTTTAAAAAATAATAATGAGAGAGAGAGAGAGAGAAGAGGCCAAAATTGAGCTCTGTATAATGCTTGGCAGATAAACTGAACTGAGGTTTAGCACCCTAAAGTTGGTTTACTCATCTAGTTCGTATTGCTAAAACAAGGATGAAAGGATAATCTAGACCTTGAGGAAAAAGTATGTAACTGTATGACAGTAATGATCTGCTGAAATACCTGTATATGGGAAAGGATACTTCCGTGCATAGCCATAACCATAAATGCACAGTGCCTTAGTGCACCACTAACTTTGACGTATTCACTCCAGGGATAATTGAACATTTTGTAACGGCCATGAGGTGGTTCCCATATGGCAAAACCCAGCTGAAAAAATATAACATTGAATCCCTTATGAGAATGAAAATCTTTGGCTGAACGGACCTAAGTACCGAAATATAAAAATGTACCAGAGAATCCTCTTGGCTTGTAGACTCTACTGCAGCTCTATATCCAGTGTACAATGGATCATCAGAAGCCTGATAGACGAGAATTTTCGAGGGTATTCTGTCATACGCAGAACATTGCAAATACATATTGACGCAACCTATATAAAAGGCACAAAATGTTACTCGACATATTTCCATTGCACAAATAGGAAATAGCAACAAATATTTGATTACAAACATAACAAAAAGCATTTAGATGCTATAAGAGCACAACAAAATCCTCACCTTCCAACGAAGTGGCGACGCCCTTAAAATTTTTCACCACCAATTTATGCAGATCCTCGCCAGCCCAAATGGGATAAACACATAAATTAATAAGTAAACAAATACCAGCTCCAAGTGCAATTAGAAGTAGTCTAGAAACAGCTGTTTGCACAAAATCTGAAGTGCCAGATACGAGTACAATACAAAATGTCAACAAGAAGACTCTAAATCCATATTCGTATTGCTTCATCGCAGGGTGCAACTTCAAATAACTTGCAAAAAAACCTAAAAGATAATGAAACCTAATCAATTCCAGTTTCCAAATTCAAAACTAAGGGAAAAAAAAAAAAAAAAAAGGGTCAAACGAACACAACTTTAGTTACTCATCAGTAATTGATACAATTTATACCAGCAATAAAAATGCTGATCACGATCACAACTTCTTGAAATTTCCCCACCATTAATGACAATTCAGCAATGCCCAGAGCCAGTGCTCCAGCCGATATTGTCCCCAGTGCGCGATTAAGTCCTTTGTTCAGCGTAGCTCCTGTTAAAAAAGTCAAGAAAATGAGCAAATTACATAAAAAATTGGGGATTTGAAATATTTGAAATAAAATCAATAAATACCTATGCTGAACTCGAACACGACAACAACAGTAAGGATGGCCCAGATGGAGTGTTTGCCAATATAAGGAAGGGGTTCTTTGAGGAAAATAAGGATTGAAACAAGCGAAAGAGCAGAGGCGACTTTAGCTGCAAACACCACTTTTCTTGGATCGGAACGACCCATCTTATAAGCCTTGGCCGCAGTTTCTTGAACATTGCTACACCATCTAGAAAATTTTTCCTGGGCCGATCGAAACAACCAATGTAAACAACCTTCATGTCCATTATAGGATGCATCAAATTCTACGTCGGAATTATATTTTCTGGACAGCAATTTTTCTCTCCCTCTCTCGACAAAACTTTGTCTTAAAGATCCAAAATTGGCTGCCATAATAATTTCTTGGAATATCAAAAATAAGGAACATTAAAAGTGGGTTTGCGATCTAAAGTCCAAATCATTGCCTGAAAGTTGTGAAAATTTGTCAGATATCTGGATCGAGTTATTGGAATTTATAAGTTGAATATGTAAAGATTTTGGGTTAATCCAACTAGAAAGATTTATTAGCCTATTAGGAGAAGGTATGGCTGGAACTTCGTTGGTTCCTTCCTAAAGATTCAAGCAAAATTATACGTAGGTTATCATATTTTTGTTATTATGTCAATTGGTCCACTATCTAAATTTTTCCTTACATCTAAGTACCAAGATCAATTTTTTTTTGCAATTTGGTCCCCACTAAAATATTATGCTCACTTTGATTCTTCATGTTGAGTTCGACCTCACGTTTTACTAATAAATATTTCAAAACACTATCCATATACTAACCTTAAGACTGGACATTATGAGAAAAAAAATCAAAGCAGACACATGGTCATCGTAATCTATAGAAACCTGATGATTTACTATCATTACTGCACCACCCCATCTCACCACCAACCACTTCTGCCATGGCACACCGCAGCAATTACATTAGCGCCTAATTTTCTACCAATTATACAAACAAGTAATAATTACCCAATCGCAAACCATCATTATTCGATGACATTGTAGCGTAGGCATCATGATTACCTAAATGGCCGACCTTAACAACTAAGCAAGGGACCAAAACTCTGAGCAAAGGCACAATTTTCAAGTCAACTCTATAACTAGAATAGCGTTGGATGGCCAAGCAGTGTGATTTTTCAACCTATAAATAGGGACAAATGATCTCCTAAGACAGAGCTAAGAAGACATCAACAAGTACTCTCAAATGTTTGTAAACATTGATCCAATTTCAGTGATGCTCAATAATTTTTCCTTTTAAGCTAATCTAATCTTGTCAAATCATTTTTAGTCATCAACAAATAATATTCTTCTTTATTAACATGATTAGGCTGTAATTTCATTCTAATATGTGGCTAAAATTTTCAAGATCTTTTACTATGCACTTTTTATACATTGAATATATAACTCATGCAAAGAATCGAGAAAAAACACTTCTTGACATTTTAATAAAACAAAAATATCGAACTTGATGCATCATGCACCTCGATAATCTTGTGAAATATTGTTTGAGATAAAATAAGTGAACAATATAAATAGAATAACTAAATGCCTTTTTTTATAAGTAGCATCATCTTTTAGCTTTCATTGTTTCTATTCAATATATTCAATATCTCCAATCCCAAGCTCTCCATCATCATTATTTTTATTTATTTTTTATTTTTTTAACATCTGTCCTCCGAATCTCCTAGTTCCTTTGGAGTGGGGAAAGGAGACGTGGAATAGGAAAAAATTTCTAGTAATCCCATACTATGAAAATCAATTTTCTTTATCAATATTTAACCAATACATATTATTCATCCACGTTCGATTCTTGATTAAATAGTTAATCTCAATTACTTAATATAAATGTCCATACTTGGGATAACTAGAAATTTTTTGGTGAAATTGGAGATGGAGAAACTTATTTAAAATTTTGGTTTTTCGCATTTTATACTTGTAGTTGAAAATAAAAATACAATCGTCTTTATAATCAAAACTCAACTTTAAGTAACCATCAACAGACACAAAGAAATCGTGAGCATGACTCAAATACTATAATACTGAAAGGTTCGAGACTCAAATGTTAAGATTGCAGGAAGACCCAGTGCAAATATGTAAAAGTTGGAAACCTAAGTGCAATTTTCCACTTTAATCGGAAAAAAAAAAAAGGTCAAAATCAAAATCAACTAATTACAAAATAACAAAATTCCGGTAGTTTGATCGCTTCTTTACAAACAGAAACTTCCACTTCTCTTTAGAATTTTAATTAAAATTTTATGGGGTCTTATTTTATTTCTTGACATTATTAAACATCTGTAATTCTACTAAGCATACGTAAACACAGTTCGTCTCTATATAACTATCATACTAACAACTTTTCAATACATTTAGGATACTCGATTATTTTTTACAACGTAATATCATTTAATTTTGCATTTATTGAAAATTTATAACTAAATCTTCGACAAACACCCGAGACTATACATTATAAGTTACTGAAAAAAAAAATTAATTTTTTACAAATTTCTAGTGTGGCAATTATTTTTTTAAAATATAAGATGGAATAATTCAAAGTCAATGATGATCCATACCTAAGGCGAAAAAACAAGTTGCTACGCTACATTATGCTTTTCACGTATGCACATAGCCACCTCGTGGGAATATTTTTGTAATACCCCAAACATATATACAATATGTTATGAGGCATAAATACACATTTTGATATTTTCTAGGACTTTGTGTTAATATTATATATATATATATATATATATATATATATATATATATATATATATAAAATAAATTTAGAATTTTAACGTATTTATACCTTGAAACTAAGAGTTTCAACGAAATTAGAATTTAATATTTTGGTATATATGAAATTATTATCGATTTTTTTTTTATATAAAGGTGTTTATATAAATTAAGAATTTTAACATATTTATGGGGGTGTTCTCTTCGTGGTTGAGTTTTGAGTTTTGAATTTTATTTTGAGTGTCCGTTTTGAAATTGTTGAAAGCACGTTCTTTTGGTCATTTTAAAAAAATGTTTCTCAAAACGTAAAAGTCGAAAACGCATTTACTGTCGGTCAAACCCCAAGCCTATTTCGAAAACCATCTCCACCACCAAATAACCGTTCACCGACAGCCATCATGGATCAAATTTCCGGCAATTTTTGGCCACCAAGACCACCGGATATTTGTACCATCGGAAAGCCCTTAACCTCCTCTTCAATTCCAAACCAACATCTCCCCATAACTCAACTTGATTTGGCAGAAATCAATCCACAAAGTAGGCTGTTGGGACATTTGAAAATTGCCAGAAACTCCACCTCCGGCCACCAACTTGATCGGAGCCCACCACCGATCGATTGCTCACCACAAACCAACCCCAACCATGGCCCCAATTTAACACAAACAACGATTCAAAAATCTAAATTTAACCCAGAAATTTTAGGGGTCGCAAAGCCTGTCCAACAGAATCCGATTTTTGCAGATTCCGGCATCGTCCAATCGACCCATGGTTGCGGACCACATGGGTTGAACTCCTCTTCACCCGGCGCACCTTGTGCAGCCATGGGTCAACCCCAATTTCTCCCAGAAGTTGATTAATTTATGGGTGCAATCAGTGGCTTGTGCAAAAAATTCGAGCGGTCCACAGTTTTTGAAGTGCCCAAGTGTAGCGTCACCACTGGGGGGAGGTGAGGGGGTTCGACTGATGGTGGAGTTCAGTGGTCTAGGTGGCGGGTGGTGGTGGAGTTTGGAGGAAGAAGGCGACGACTGTGAAGGGGATGGGAATTGAAGAAGACGGTGGAAATTTTTTAATTTGGGTCGTTTTCCGCATTTTCTAATTTTCACGAGTTTTGTACACAAAACAGCCAAAACGACATTTTAGTCATTTTGTGTTTTCTTCATAATTTTTTTTTGTTTTCGAAAACGCGTTTTCAAAAATGGGAAAGAGAACGCGTTTTCACCGTTTTGAAAAATCGAAAACTGAAAACGGCAAAGAGAACATGTCCTTAAATTTTTCTTTCATAAAGTTTGTTAAGAGATCAATTTAAATTCTAATCCATAGTCCTATTAAAATTCTAGGTAAGTCATTATCATAATCACACATATAAATACCTCTTGTTGTTCACTTCAATTCACACAAATTCCTAGAGAAGAGGGAGAAAGAGAGAAAGAAAGAAGGGTGGGGGAGAAGAGGGAGAAAGAGAGAGAAAACGTGAGAAAGGGACAAAAGAGGAAAGAGAAGAAAGAAAAAGAAAATATTGTTTAGTGCATTTGAAATTCATTCGCAAGAATTTCTAGTCTTAAGTAGCTCAAGTATACAAGAAATTTAACGAATTAGATATAATTTGTCTAAATGTCCAGTGATTTCTTGTTTTTATTTTTTAATAATTTAATTTAAGTGTTTTATGTCCTATTATGTGATCCAGATTAAAGAATGATATTACGAGTAATACCATAGGATATTATTTTATAGATCTACACAAAATCCAGATATAGAGCTAAATACTCTAAGTGGAGATTAAGAATAGGTATGACCTAAATAAAAATGAGACGGTCAAGTTTCTATTCCACTATAAAATTATGGAATGTGCGTATTTTACTTGTTTTTTATATTAAATTGTAAAAATATTAGTATAAAATCTATAGTGAGTATATTTATATGCTCATTTCATATTCTAAATTATTTTTACGAAAACTTGATGGAATGGAGTTGGAGGTTGAGACTGCTGATAAAGCCTGTGTCACTGGATCAAAAATTTTATTTTCTTTTAATATTTAGCATTTAGTTTAAAATTTATTTGCAATCAGAATTTTATTTTCAAATCCAATGAATTTATATTTCATTGGTGGTCTGAATTTATTTGACATATTATAAGACAATAAAGTAATTTATATTATTCCGCAAAATTTATTCATTTTTTTGTATTACTAGTCTTTAACACGTGTGTTACACGAGTTTTGTATTTATTGTATATTTATTAACGTCAAAATTATAGACTTTTTCAAAACTGGTTAAAGATTCGAAATATTTGGTGAAATCTAATCGTTTGGTTCATTACAGTATCGCAAGATGTATAGAGATTTCTTTTTCATTTTTTTATTTTTTCCTCATTTATTTATTTTTTATTTGTATAGTTCATATTATAAATATTTTTTTATTTAAAATCCTTTTTAATTATTTTTTCTTTATGAAAAAACTTAATTTTTTCAATTTTAATTAAAAAATATTTATATGTTCTTTATAGGGCTGTAAGCAAAAACCGCAAAACCAGAAAACCGAACCGAAACCGCATTTTAGAAACCGTCGGTTTGGTGCCACGCGGACCCGGTCAACGAAATGGTTTTGAACCAAACCGAACCGGTCAAAACGGTTTGGTTTAGGTTTGAGAATTTTAATTTCGGTTTAAAACCAAACCGGACCGACGAAAAAATATATAAAAATTAAAAAATTAAAAAATAATTTTTTTTTTGAAATTTTAAGACTTTAAGTGGGCTATAAGACCATAAATAACACATAAAGTCATAAACCCGACTCGACCCAATCCGAC